AAGAGAAAAAGGAGAAGAAAGGATGAGAAGTAGAACAACGGAGCAGACCCTTTTTGTCCGTATTTAATTAGCTATTGTTTAAATCTCATTTAGCTCGCCAAACTTTTATGTGAAATCTCTTTTTAGTTTTTAAACTGAAAAAAAAAATAATTTGATCCTTAAGTTGAATATTTTTTTTTTTTAGTTATTTTTAATTATTTAGTTGAGTTTTTGCTTACATGACATGTTAATTGATAACAGCACAAGCTGTTCTTTGGTTCGAATTAGTGATGTAAAAATTCTACGAAGTAAAATTTAGTGATGTGGACAAAATATGTTGTTACCATGGACTTTAATTACAAAATTGCCATCAAAATAGTTAAATTGAAATTATATTGAAAATTCAAAATTACCTAATGCTCCTCCCCAAAACTTATCCTTCCTGATTCTCCCATCCCAAGCCCCATCTCCCTTTTCCCCAACCTTCTCCTCCATCATGATCCACAAATTCTCACACTGATTTCCTTCAATTCAGTGTTCCCATCGGAAATCGCTTGTTTCCCCCAGTATCCGGCCGGCAGCGACTTCTGGTTCCTCTGCTAGCAACATTTCTGGTAGTTCTTCTCCACAGTCGGTGGCAATCCTAAGCAGGAAACTGCATGTCGAGGTCAAGATGATAACCGGAGCTTCCCCTGTCCAGATTGCAGACCCATCGCCTACTACTTCTCCGGTGACCTTTCTCTAAGCTCCTCCGGCTCTTCCGATCATGGGTTCTACTTCTTCTCCTACTCCGGCGAACACCCCAGCAAAGTCTACCTGGGCTGATATTGTTGTCGATTCTGGAAAAGTTACTTTATCTTTTCATCCGCCTGAATTTCGGAATGGTAGATTAGTAGTTCCTGATGATGTTCTTGCTGTGGGTTTGAAATCTTGGAACAATTGTTTAGTGGGTACGTTTCTTCGTGGTTGCTCGCCCAACAACGGCGACATTGTTTAAACTGTAAACAAACTTTGGGGAGAAAAGGGAAAATAATTGTTACTTGAGTAGGCAATAATACCTTGCTGTTCCAAATTCCGGATCCTGCAAGTAGAGAGTGGGTTCTCCATTCCAAGATTCCATGGCATGCGTCTCAAAGAACTCTGTATCTCCAGCCATGGAAACCTGATCTGGAGTTATCCAAGATTAAACCATCGGAGATGCAACTCTGTGTTAAAATTTGGGGAGTTCCTATAACTTTGTACACCCCTCAGGGGCTAGGACATGTAGCTAGTGCCATCGGAGCCCCTGTCTGTCTTGATAACGCCACAGAAGAGCGTGTTCACATCAATTATGCACAGGTATGTGTTGAAGTGGATGCAGA